CTTGGGCGCACCCTCACCCCATCTCCTTTCTGCGCCTGCTGAACAAGAGAGTCTCGAGCTCGGCCTCTGTCTCAAAAGTTCGGCAAGAGCTGGTATGTGTAAGGTGCAAGGCCTCCTCGGGCACGCCCCTTGAGGGACCATCCGCAATATTCGAGAAAGAGGGCACACGCTCGATCCACAAGTAAGCTGGGTGATCAAAATTTGGGTGATCCCATGCCTGCACCAGCCGATTCATGCTGTGGCTGCTGCTGCCACCTTTTATGGCTGCGAAGCGTGCCGCCTCGTTATCACAGAAGACGATGACCCTCCGGTGCATCCATGCCTCCTTCCGAAGATGTCTGATGAGTGCCATTGCGTACAACTCGACCTGCGATATTATCTGCTCCTGAGTGTGATCCTCGGTTCTCAACCACAGTGCAGTGATGCTAGTTGGGATGCGGCCAGCCCAAACCGCACCCTTCGAGGCTATGGGATCCCACTCAACGGCACCTATACCCGCATGTCCCTTTTCCCAAGAGCCATCGGTCCACACCAGGACCGGTTGGCGCACTCGGTTGCACACTAAGGACCGGGGAGGGGTGCTCTGAAGGATGACGGAGATGCGGCTGCCCAACTCATCTAAGGAGTCCTTAGCTGAAAGCCAATCCTTGCCCATCAGATGATTCAAGTCGTAGGCCACGTGTCGCAGGGCCCTTCCTGCAAAGAAGCCGGAGGCGAAATTCAAGTGTCCAATAAGGACCTGCAGAGATTGCCTGAAGCTCCCATTTCCTAGGGATGCCGTCGAAACCTTTTCAAGAATTTTCTCCGCCCTGCCAACCTTATTTGCAAGAACTATCTTCCCTGACAAGATCTCACCCAAGTCTAGCCTAGTCCCAAGGACGTCGAAGGAACTATCAAAGGGCTTGCCTTTTGACCCGGACTTTGCATGCCTCCACCCCAGCAAGTCCAATAGCCGGGATACATCTTGGTCCACGGAAGCAGCTGATGACTCCGGGCTAAATAAAGGGTAGTCATCGAAGTAGCAGGCACAGGGCACTTTCAAGCACTTGTTTATTATCCACCACAACGAACGACTCACCCGTACAAATGCAAACACTGATGCCGAAGCTCCAAACATCAACGCATTGCAAATGTGGTAAGTTGCAACTCCATCATGATCCTGGATCATGATGACACACAGGTCGCGGTCTCGTGGATGGACTGCCATTTGTTTATAGGCTTTCGAAAGGTCGAGGCACTTGCCATGCCACGGCATGCGCTTGCTGGCTGGAAGGCCCTGCATTCGTTCGGCGATGAAGAGGGCCAGTGAAGCTACATAATCTGAGTCGTGAAGTTGCAGGGCAATTGTGGAGGTGTAAGCAGCATTGATTTGCGCCTCCAAGCAGTCATCTATGGGACGGACCTTGCGACCTCCATCCTGGACCAGAACGAACCTTCGTACCACACCCCAATTTTCGTGACCGAAGAAGGCACTGACCTCCCCGGAAGTCATACCTCGCTCAAGGAAGCCAGCATCGACCTCCTCGGCCGTGGCCTGGGACAGCAGGGAAGCATCCTCCTCAGAGGGGAAACTACGCCCTAAACCCAACAAGCTAGACCTCCGATGCCGAGCCGAAGCTCTAAGCTCCTCTTCCGATAAGGATGCGGGGGATACCTTCTTTGCAAAGTCCTTTGGATGTTCCTCACACCCTACAAGCCTCACTCCCTCCTTCATGAAGCGCACGCAATCAAGGTCAGTATAGCCTGTCTCTTTCAAGAGTTCCTCCCAGGCTAGCAAGTTTTTGCCTTCAAGAACTTCCTGCATATACTTTGGCATGCCTTTGTGTAAGGCGTCCTCACGGGGCTGAAGGCGGCGAATCTTCTCCTCCAAGTAGCTAAGGAAGGATCTCCTTTGCTCGGATAGGGCATCCGGGTCCCCATGTAAGGAGGAATCGATTGCTGCTTTCGTCACCATGGCCACCGGCTTGGTGGTATCCATGGGGTGAGCCAGAGATGCAGCCTTGTGAAAGAACTCGCTCGGAGAGTGCCAAAGGCCCAAGGTCACGGCACCAACAGTCGGAGGGGTCGAACCAGAGGAGGGTGTAGACGTCGGAGCAGCCACATCCACCCCCTGAAGTTGGCTGGGAGAGAGCACCTTGGCACCAGTCGGGATTGGAGAGTCCACTGGGACTTGCACGACTGTCTTGTACTCGGGGATTAGAGGCTTATGCCGGCGCGGCTGGACCCCAGCTGCGGCCAAGGATTGGTCATGCAAACGGATGGCAGACGGCAAGGCCTGTCCAGCTTGGCTCATGAAAGACAGCAAGGCTGAAACCATACGACGACACAAATCCAGAGGATAAGATGCATCCTCAGCAATCTCCACACGAGTTCGACTGAGGGACCAGGGCTTATGCTCATGTTGTTTGTCGCATGACACCGCAAGGGAGTCGAACAGGCCAGGTGTACATTTAAGCCGCAAGGGCTTAGCACGGGAGCTCCCAAACATGCAACAATGCAGGTCGATCGACTGCAGTGCCTGCCACTTGGCTAGCACCTCTGTGTCCTTCAAGGCCTGGGCGAAACAAGCAAAGATTTGCCACAGTCTGGAACCAGGCGGGTTTTCTATGCAAAAGGGAATACCCCTGGCCAGGCAAAAGCAAGCAACCTCAAAAGAGAAGCGATACATTTTGTTGGCTTCATCCACGCGTGTGGCCTCAAGGCTGCCTAACTTTAAATCCGGGCATCCCAAAGGATGTTGCGAGGTACGCAATGCTCCTGAGGAGGAGCGAGAAGAGGCTGTGTCAGAAGGCAAGCCCATATGGACAAAGGCAGGGCGGCAGGATTCAAGGAGCGACCATACGAAAGCTTGGCCTGCCTCAGTGGCAAGATCAGTTTTGCAAACCGGCACGAGGCTGTGAGCTAACCTGTGGTCCATGGACAAGACGGTGAATCCGGCCCGGCGCAAGCATTGCGACAGCCGTCCCCGCCCCGAAAAGAGTTCGAGGGCGAGCGGGGTTTCGCCGACCGAAGCGGAGGACGGACTATCCTTGGGTACTTGCTGGACAGGGGCAGGACTAAACCCTACAGGCACAGGACCCTCAAGTGATGCAGGATCAGGACTAGACCCCAAAGGAACCGGGTTGGCCTCGGCATCAGGCGCAGGATCTAGGGAAGTGAAACCGCAACAGGCGGGCACCTAAGGGGCTCGGCCTTATAGCCCGGCAAGGCAAATTTGGCCCGCAAAAGCGAATCACAGCAAGTGTCAGGCAAGCTCTTTAAGCCCCTCACCGTGTATGACACAAGGACCACCCTGGTGCCGAGCCAGGGCTCGGTCCAATGCACGACCTCCCGCGCAGCAAATCTCAGCATTCCATTCCGAAAGGCTATGGCACGACCACGAAAATCGCGGCCCTCATGAGTGATTTTGTGCTCCCCCTCAGGGTCTTCCACGATGACCCTTCCGCCTGAAAAATTCGTAATTGCAAAAACCTGGTTGGTACTATGTGGGCAATTATGCGAGTCGCGATGTGGAGCCGCTTGATTGTTGCGAAAAATGACTAATGAAGAAAATTTTGCCGTCGGTGCCTGTTGCCTTGCATACGATGCCAAGAGCTCAGAAGTCCATGGAAAACGTGTGAGATTGTTGACCACTGAACACATGGTTCCATGAATGAAAGCACCAGTCACGAAGGCCTTGGAAGCTTTATCGGACCCTCTAGGATTATTCCCTTCAGGCAAAAGCTCGAAAACTGACAAAATTACTGATTTCTGAAGATTACCCTGCTGCACTGCGCTGCGAGCCAAGGATTCAGCCGGGCGAAGACCAGAATTGGTCTCAGGGGCCCACTCGTTGGCCTGCAGCGCCACCGACTGTCAATCCGTATGGTTGCATTCAATGAAAGGCTTGTCGCGATAACAGCCTTTGAAATAGCACTGGTGGAAGCCCCTGTTGCAGCGCTTTCCTTTGCCCTTCCATTTGCATTTCCCCTGATTCCACAAGAAACACAGAGGCTGATTCTTGTCATTGCGATCACAACAACCCTCGGGAAGGTTGAATCGCTTTGCTGGATCCTCTTGCTTGTCTCCACCCTTTCCGCCCTTGCCGCCCTTGCCCTTTTTCCAAGCCCGACTCAAGAAGTTTTTTTCTCTTGAGCCGAACGACTTGGACCAAACAGCTGCACTTACCAAAAAAGTTTCCTGAGTAAAAGTTGCACTGAGTTGGAAAGGTTTCGCACAAAGAACTTCGCCTAAGTTGCACAGCAAGACTGAAGTGGCACACGATGCTCGCACAGACGACTGTATTTTTTCCATCGGCGACGTTGGGGATAACAACTGCTGGAGTGCCGGTCGGCACCAAGTTCGTATGCCCATTTTGGCATTTTGCTAAGCCTAAATGTCCGCAGGGAGTTGCAGCCCTCAGCGAGGGGCCCTGCTAGCATTCACCCCCTTGCCAGGGTGGGCGGGTGGGTCAAAAATTTTGCTCAGCTTGAGCATCCGCACTGCGAACAGCATGAGTGTGATTCATGCACTGCAAGACAAAAGAGGGATGCTCTGTCGCGTTGTTGTCTCAAGGAAAAGGCCACTGAAGAAAACGCAAGAAGTAAAGCAACCTTTTATTTTTCAAAATCGGTCCAAGGCGGCCCACGCGAGGGCCTTCGTCCGGGCTCAAGAGAATCCACTATCTCGGAGCGAGACTGTGTGGTTCTCTTGAGCCGAACGACTTGGACCAAACAGCTGCACTTACCAAAAAAGTTTCCTGAGTAAAAGTTGCACTGAGTTGGAAAGGTTTCGCACAAAGAACTTCGCCTAAGTTGCACAGCAAGACTGAAGTGGCACACGATGCTCGCACAGACGACTGTATTTTTTCCATCGGCGACGTTGGGGATAACAACTGCTGGAGTGCCGGTCGGCACCAAGTTCGTATGCCCATTTTGGCATTTTGCTAAGCCTAAATGTCCGCAGGGAGTTGCAGCCCTCAGCGAGGGGCCCTGCTAGCATTCACCCCCAACTTAATCCTATTACCTAAGTCCCTGAACATCCTTCAAGCAAGAGTCGACTCTTTGAGTCACATTCGAACGAAGGAGTTGAACCCCCAGCAAGCTCAAGCTGTCAAGCTCAACCCTTGAAGGTTCGTCTGCAGGGTTCGATGGGGATGGTACCCTTGCGAACCACGGAATGATTGAGGAGTTATGTTCCTTCTGCAGAAACGCCTCCAACAACCGTCTCGCGACTGAAGCTCTGGCATTCGCAGAGATAGCTGCGTCACGCACACCGTTATTGTCCACAAAGAAGATTGCCGTGTGCCCCATCAAGTCCTGCAACCATACGTCCAGTGCCACTGCCATTGCTAGCATTTCAGCCTGGAAGATGATCTGTGCAGAATTCTGCTCGCCAAGAAAGTTTTTCTGTGCATCGCTCAAAACAAGTGAAAAGAATTTTCGTGGAACACCAGTAGGATCAACCAGCACCCCTCCTAGGCCGCAGAAACTATGCCCTGCCCCTGGCTCATACGAAGCATCTGTGTACACATGCCATGATCCGCCCTCAAGGATCTTGATCAAGCGCGGGGCCCCGACCTCGAGCCTGAGCAGGAACTTCTCGAGCGATGCCCTGAGTTCGCGACTGATTACATCGTCAAAGCCGTAAGCATGAGCAGTGATCAGGCCCAAGCACTTCTTCCCAGTACGACCGAAGATTTGCGAATCGGCGAACTGGCACCTACCCCTGAGCCTTAGAGCCTCGTGATGTGGCAACCTACCTGACTCAAGCACCTTGCCCACGAACGCCCTGATCTCGGAGACCCGCTTTGCAGTGTTCTTGAAGCTTATGGTGCCATCAAGGCATGCACGAAGGTCCACCATGATTCCAAGCGCCTGGAAGCACTCGGAAAAGTCATTTGCCTTTTCGCCGGACTCGGCGAACGCCCAACCTAGGAGTTTGAACATTGACGTTACTGCCGCCTCTGCCGACGCAGAGCACCCCGTCGTCGCAAAAGTGACAAAGTCATCGAAAAACGACGACCAAGGCAAAAGCAATGCCTTTGCACCGAGAAACCACAAGGAATGACTAATCCTAAGGAAAGCGTAGACTGCCATTGCCGATCCAAATGGCATGGCCTTCATCCGAAAGTACACTCGCTCGTTCGTGTCTGGATGCACGAAGCAAACGTACGCTGCCCAGGCTGTGTCTGGGTGGACTGGCATCTGCCGGTAAGCTGCAGTGAGATCAAACGCCTTGCCCAAGATTTTGAACAAGACCTTGCCTGCTCTCTTTTTGATGGATTTCAGCAGTCGAAGACAGGTGGATGCAACCACGTCTGTAGACTGAGGCTGCGGAGCCTCATAGGCCTGCACCGCAAGGTTCACCCCCGAAGAAGTCAAATTGTCGATGCACCTTACCTTCTGGCCTTGCTGGATTCCGAACCGACGGCTAACCAAGATCCCATCACACAAGCTGGACTCGCACAAGGGACCAACGATCCAACCTGCTTCGCGCTCCTTATCGGTCTTGGAGCAAACTTCTGCTGCTAAGGCGGGGTCCTGGGGCTTAAGGGAATTTTTAACCTTTTCCCGAAAAACTTTTGAATCCTCCCTAACTTGCTTCGGCGTGGCTTGCATGGGCTTGAACTTTGGTTTAAAGACTCCCGAAATGGGCGCATGCCCCACCAACGGGACGCCTTCCTTGAGAAGGCTCGACACACACTGGTCTGGGTAATCGTATTTCTTAAGCAAAGCTTCCCACAAGAGGATGCGTTTGGATGCTGTAATCTCACGGACATCGGGGTGCATGCTGGCCTTCAGCTCCGCCTCATTGGAGGACAACGAAGTCGCCAAGTGCAACCACTCCTTGATTACCCTAGCCCTCAAAGCGGAAACTTCGGCGTCTCCCAACTTATCCAAGGATTCAAGAGTATCATTCAAGGGGGCCGGGAGCACCGAGCCCATCGACCTTGGGTGACATGATTCGGACGCCTTCTGCATGAACTCCTCAGGCTCCCAGGGTAACCCCCAAGCCATCTCCCAAGAATCAACTTTCACCAGTTCTTTACCCCCAGCTTGCACTATTGGCACGTGCCGGAGCAGCTGAGCTTTTGCCGGGATGTGTGCCAGGGTGGCACCACACTGTGGCGGCACGGGCCACGGGTTTCGGAGTCGTTGCATCGGCTGACACGGCAGCACGAGCCCCGGAGGGTGCTGCAAGACTAGGACCCGCTGATGCTCACTAACTAGTGGCGGTATCTTGCTGGCCCGAGGTTGGGCACCAGCCAAAGCACGAGACATAGGAACTTCCAAGCGAGGATCAAAAGCATCAAAAGTTTGCGGGGGCGATTGCCAGCCCTTTTGCACGAAGTGTTGAGCAAAACAGCAAGCTATCTGCGTGGCAAGACGCACCGGATGGGCGCCATGCAATTTGGACTCAGGCAGACGGTCCTGGCGGCACGAGTTGCCCGAGCAAAATCGAGCAAGCTTCGAAAATGAGCGATCGGTGACAGCAAAGATGGTAGTGCTCAGGTGGTTTCCTTCGTATGCGCAGTCGTGGCACGACACAAAAGTAAAATGCGAAGAGACCTTGCTCCAGCAGTCGGACGTCCAGAACGGCCCATCGCCCGACTGGGCCAAAACACAGACCGCCCCTCGGCCGAGGACATGTAACAAGGCTGCTGCCAAGAATTGGTCCAAAGCACTGCCCAAGTGAGCAGGCGGAGTCACAAAAAGGCCGGCTAACCTAGGTGACGATATCATATCCACTCCATGCACAAGTCCTGTCCTTTGGGCGTGGCCAGATCGGCCTGTAGGCATGTTGAGATGGACCTGCGGTTGTCAGCATCTACTCCGACGGCTGATAGCCCCAACTGTTTAAGACAGGCAGTTACCCGGCCGGACCCCGAAAACAATTCAATGACTAAGGGATCGCACCAAGTTGCAGGATTAGGGACGGCGTCGGAGGTGCAAGCAGAACCGTCGCTGGGCCGTGTAGGCATTTCAACAAAGTGGTCTGGGAGCACAACCCGTGGGCGAGTCGAGTCGCTGCCCTGAGAGCACGACCTGGAACGGAATGCACTTTCTGGAAACCCTGCTTCCAGCAGGCGTTGGCGGTACTCCGAAGACAAGCTTGCAGCGTGATTAGGTTTGAAGGCGACCAGCAGCACCCGGTCGCCAGACCAAGGCATGGTGCAGTGGGTTTCACGGGGGTTTAGGGTACACGGCCCATCGGCAACCCGAACTAAGGACCCAGAGAGGCTAAACCCTAGCTCGTCCTGCACGACGTCGTTGCCGGGCCCTTTTTGCCAGACCTCTCCACCTTGGAAAGCGGTAATCGGGATCAAGTAATTTTGCGACCCCATCTCGTTATTTACATCGACATGCAACGCAGTCTGAAGGTTCTTAAAAATCGCAACAGAAGTGAAGTCGGCGTTTGGGAAAGTTTGCAGCACAAGCTTACACAACAAGCGCGTACAAGCTGGGAAAACAGAGGTGTGTTTCCTGACGCCTTTGAGCGGTCCTTTGGCATATGCTCCCGAAGTCCAGGAGAAAGTGTTTGGCGCTTCTTGTCCCCTCGCCGGGGTCTCGCTCTCAAGCATAGTGATCAATTGCAAAACATCGGCAAGCTTACCTTCCCGAAGCTGTGAACAAAACTGTTCAGCTGGGTGCACCGGCTCAACGGATATTGTCCCCGGCGAATCAAGCTGAATGGAATCTGGCATCGGTGAATCATGACCTCCAGCGGAGGTCGATGCGACTGGTGTAACAGCGGCCTCACTGTCATCGGTCGACACAAAACTGTTCGGAGCACCTGTTTGCAGTCACTTCTTTCTCTTTGGACACTCCTGAATACCATGGTCAGGCGCAAAACACAATGCACAAACATGCAAGCCCTTAGGGCACGGATCCTGAGTGCAGCCGCACGGCAGATTCCTGGAGAAGCAAATGCGCTTCTTGTCGGGAGTCTCTGCAACTCCACCCAGTTTACGGATGGCTTCCGGCACACTGGGCTGCCATGTGCCCTTCTTGCCTTTACCTTTGCCCTTGGGGGGCTTCGTAATTTTAGTGTCTCGCTCAACCCCGGGCTTGTGCGGCGTGGCGACCCTCTTCTTGCTTTCCTCGGACTTTCGCGGAAGGAGGGCTACAGTTACGTCAAAGGTCTCAAGTGTGGAGAGCAGAGCCCGATCAACAGGGTATGTCCCATCTGCACTCCTTTTCGGACTGATTTCGTTTTCGATCATTCGCGTCCAGACCTGCCTATCTGCCGTAAGGAGTTGGTGTACACTAGTCCTTGCATAGCCTGGCGGGGGCTCTCGCCCCATATGCCCAAAGAGTTTGAGGACATACCTTTCATGTGCCACGTAACTGGCTACACCGGCGAACTGGAGAGCCACACCTCGGCGCTTCAAAGCCTCTTGCAATAACAAGGCTGACCCGCAGGCTACTTCTGGCAACCCTTTCTCCTCAGAAATCGCCAACTTGCCCTCCTCCAATGACAGGGTTTTACTCTGGGCCTTAACATTCTGGATCTCATACATGCGAGTGCCGCACTGCTCGGGGGCTATGTAGCGAAGCTGCCCCTCTCTTTCCATTCGACAAGCTGCATTCAAGAGACCATGGGAGGGCTCCAGGGACCCCTCAAGCACAACACCCGGTATGCTGGCTCGCACGGCCTCCATCCTCTTCTGACGTTCGACCGTCGGAACGTCTCGCGTAGACCACTTATCGGGCTGGGTCACCTGTTCCCTGAGATCATTAAGCAGGAGTGCTTGACTCTCGAAGAGAAGCCGCTTCACGCTTCCTTTCTCACCCAAGAGTGCCGCTGGCATGACCGTGGAAATGAAATCATCGAACTCAGATTGAGGCAGCGGCGTGCCCGGCTGGCCACAGGAATAAGCCAGCTTGCTCAAAGTATCGATCCCATGGTCCGCGAGCGCCCTGAGGCTTTCGCGACTGAGGCCAACCTCGGTACATCGCGACTTGAAGTGATGCGTACTCTCTACAAGGGACGTCATGTTGAGCCCACATTCTGAAGACGAACACACTCGAATTCACTCAAGCAAGTAGCTCAAAACTCACATGTCATGTGTTCACATCCACACGCTCACACAGCACGTCGCTACGAGCACTTCGCTCACCGCTTTCTTCCCAGCACACGATACATTCATCGTTCGCCCAAAAGCGCGCTCTGCGCGGGCCTCACACATTGCGCCGGCAGGTCCGGCACTCTTTGCCACGACTGACTTCGATCCTCGTCGCTTCACGATAGTTCCCACTTACGGGTCGCCCACATGCGAGCAGCATCGGAACATCATCGGGGCTGGCAAGCAGATGCAAGACCCCACTCGAAGTGTTCACATACCACACCTGGTCTGGCTCCTCGACTTTAGCTCGCTTCCACCTACGAACAGCAGGCTGAACCGCCTCGCTCGCAGACGACGAGGAGGAAGACTGCGATGACTGAGAGGAATCGCTGCACTCATTGTCCGAGGAAACAGAGTTCCCTGCCTCGGACTCGTCACTGCTGACCACCTCAACCTTGACTGGATTGAGCTTCTCTGATCCTTTGTCGGAGCCCCGGATCGTGACCTCCTCGTTACCAACTGCTCGCCTCGGGAAGTAACTCGAGCGACTGTTATCAGGGAAGAAGTTTCCGGCTGCAACTTCTCTGATCATGTCCTGAAGCCGTCTGACCGGTGCAGCTGACAGTTCTCTGCTGTAGATGGCTTGCGTAGTCTTGACCGAGGACGCATGTCTCCCCAAGATGCTTTTCAGGTCCTCGTCAAACCCGAACTTACCTCCCCATCCCAAGCAAGTGCCTCGCAACGAGTATGCAGTGACCCTGGGGGCCGAAGGATCGGTGACCTCCTCAGGCAAACCTAGGAAAGCTCGCAACATCTTGCCCACTTCGGAGGAAGCGATGGACCTCCTCGAAGAGACGACCCCTGATTCATCGGCAGGCGCCAAGGTCAGAGGACCCCGAACCGAAGTCAAGCTTCTCCCCGCCTTCCGGAAAGCACTCAAGGCTTCATCAATCCAGCACTTTCCGTGGACCCCGATCATGGGAACTAGGATCGGCAGCAGCTTGGTCTTAAGCTGCACCTTCCTGGCCCCCTTGTGCTGGGAAACTTCGAACACTAACAACGGGTAGTCGGCTCCAGGCGGGCAGTCAACCTCGACCGACTCAACGAAAAGGAAATCGCTCGGGCGAGCCCTAGCATACAGCCTAATCAGCAGAGAAGCGAGGAGTACGCGGTCAAAGCAGTGCAAGGCTCCCGACTCCAACCTTGCGTGCAACTCGAGTACCTGCGAGACCGTAAGATCTTTAGCCTGGCGGAGTTTGCGCACGTTCACAAGCTGCTGCTCAGTGGCTCCGGCAATCCTCCTAGAATCAACTATGCCCGACAAACGGAACCCCAGCACAAAGTGAGCAAACCTGAAAGCACTCAGGACAGAAGCAGCCTTGGAGGCCGGCGCAGAAGTTTCCTTGAGGAACTGCACAAAATTCCACACCTGCACCTCATGCAGCCCGCTCGGGGCTAAGGGCTCGTGGACATCTAGCCATCGAACGAAGGTCCAAAAGGATGCAGCTCGTTTGTGTATGGTGTGCGGTGATTTCACTCCCACAGCAGCTGAAACAGCCAGTACAACGTCCTCGTAGCCCGCTTCTCTGTTTCTCATTCCCTGACAGACACACTCGAAAAGAGAGCAGCACTCAGAGTACCTCAGCACAAGTCTACTCCACATGCCGATACCTTGCTCCCTCTTACGCTCTCGCTCCGCGGCGGGATCGCGAGCTGCAGAACCCAACGCAATGGCCCAGGCGAAAATCGAACCCGACGGAGCATCCTTGGACCCGGCTTCAGGTTTGCGAGCTGCCTGGGCATTGTGTGTGATCGGCGGGAAGATCGACCCCTGCTTGCGACCTTGCAAAGGGTCCCACACACAGTCTGGGTCGAAAAGCAGCTTGGAGAACTCACTCTCCCACGGAAGCCTAAGACCGTCATCAAGTTTGCCGAATCTAGCAACATCCTGCTTAACAAGCCCTCCTACAAAGGAACCCAAAGCATCATCTACGACACCCGCGGTCGAAGCGAATGCCCCGGGGGCTTCCAAGCTAAGCCCTTCAGCAGAGGCATCTGCATGGGCCAACGACGCAGCTTTGTCAAGAACAGGGACCGAAGAAACCGACTGCTGTCGGGGTGCATTCGAGGCTGTCCCCGATTCCATGTGCCCTACATGAGAATCGTCGCTTCCGAAAATGTCTCGCATCAGACCGGCCACATCCCTATCGGCTCGCTCCAAGGTCTCCACACCAGGAGGCGTCCAAGCATCGGGGACCTGTGATGGGTCCTCTTCCCAGTCTTCCGGGAATTCAAGCTGAGTGAGGTGTAGGTCGTTCCCGACACGCTCGCAACCTAGGCTAACTCGACTGAAGCTGCCGTCCGACGATTCGCCAAAGCCTGGGAAATCCTGTGGTAATGGCACCTCACCTGTGAAGTCTCTGACCACTAGAGGCGGCAAAGGCGGGAAAGTGAACTCACCAGCCCCACCTTGAACATTTGCAGCCTTTGCCGAGGCAGGTGCGGCGGCACTTGTCTGGGATTCCATCCTAGTCTAAGGTATGAAGGAAAGGGGGGAGCGGCAGTGCTCTCCGGCGCCCCTTCAAGCCAAGTGATGCGCTGTTGCAAAAGCAGGAACTGAGCCTGCAGTCTAAAGACTGAACTCTTCAAGCTCTGTCCTTGGCACCATGCAGCGCGCCCGCCCAGGCCGCGAGGAACTATGAAGCCTTGGATTTAGCACCCGGAACCTCGTAGACAGCACTTTACCGGGATCTTAGAGGAGCCTTCTCAAAAATTTTGCTCAGCTTGAGCATCCGCACTGCGAACAGCATGAGTGTGATTCATGCACTGCAAGACAAAAGAGGGATGCTCTGTCGCGTTGTTGTCTCAAGGAAAAAGCCACTGAAGAAAACGCAAGAAGTAAAGCAACCTTTTATTTTTCAAAATCGGTCCAAGGCGGCCCACGCGAGGGCCTTCGTCCGGGCTCAAGAGAATCCACTATCTCGGAGCGAGACTGTGTGGATCAAAGGGCAAGTCCTCACTGAAGGCCCGCTTCAGCGAATCGGCTAAGGCCTTACCCCCCAGAGGTGGGGGCGGAACATGAGGCTTGGGCATCGGCACAAGGTACTGAGAGATCTCGGGAGAGAACATCAGCATGATAATTTGATCATCCAGCGGTGTCCTGTCTCCGGGCCGGCTGGCCCTGAGATCAGCAGGCAGGCCCTCGGCGGCCAACATGAACAAGCGCTTGTCTGCATTCACCATTTGCCTCAACTGGATGGGTGCATAACCTTCCGGGACGTCGCGGGCAAACACTGAAAAGAGATGATGCACCCACTTTTCAACCACAATGAAAGTTGCAATCCCGGCCATGTCCATTGCAAGGGACCGCCTCTGCCAAGCTGCACGAAGCTTGGAGTCAGTGCTGGCCTCACACCTGACCTCTGCAGCCTTGGAGTTAACCTTGATTTGTCCATCCGGCATAAGCTGCAAGGCTTTGTCCTTCTTATTGCTTTGCATCTCATCTGCCCTGGAAGCACACTTTTCAGGCGCGACCCAAGCAATGACGCCCGTCTCAAGTTGATCGTTAAACAAGTCAACTAGGTAGTGCGAGGGAGTAGTTTCAGGCGTGTACACCAAACCAGTGATCCTAGCCTGCTGTCGCTGCGACCTGGCTAACCGCTCCGATGGGGGCAGAGGCTTTGCAACTTGCTCCGAGGCCGGTTGCATCTTCTGTCGAATCTCGCCCATTGACATGGTTTGGCTTTCGAAAAGGAGCTTCTTTAGACATGTTTGCTGCTGCTCAGAAGGGACCGAGGGCACCCAAAGCCGCTGAACCCACGCTTCGAAAGTTTGGTCAGTGATGGTGTGAGGGGAGGCACTCACACTAAAGCACAACTGGCCAAAGCTTGCAACGCCTGCATGCTGGAGCACCTCCAAGTTGGCTGCCGACAGTCCTAGCCGCTTGCACCTCTCAGCAAACTCGGCAGTACTTTCCAGGGCGGAGGAAGTCATGTTGCACAACCTAGGGTTCCTCTAGAGCTGTTCATGAGCTGATGATACCACGTGACATGGCAAACTCCTCACTACTTGTATGCCGATACATGTTCATGTTTCTCATGATCAATGTTCTAAAAACTGGAGCGGCGGCAAACTTCAACGATGACTGCTCAGACGATCGGACTCACGGCAGCTGGCACAACGACCCTACGCAGCACTCAGCTACAGGCCATGCCAGCACACACCAGTCTCAGATCAAAACAGCACTTTCTTTTAACCGCCACGGTTCACCTCGGCGTCGGATCCCCCTTGGGCCTCAAGGACCCTAAAGCATTGTATGCAGCATGAGGGGTTTTCCCCTAGCAGACTACCTTGCCGGAAAGGTTTATAGTTTCTACTGATCATTCTGCCGCACAAGAGAGTGGTCTGATCCCTCTTCACATGTGTGATGCCGGAGACAGAATGGACAGCGCATGTGGTCCAGGGGACCCCTCGAAAAACTTCACGTTCGGCAGGGCCATCATCCCTTTCGAGCTCTCTGTCCAAATCTATCGAGGCATGATCGGAGTCGTCCGACTCCCCGTCCTCATCCATCTTTTCGCCGTTCAGCTTTGACGCCGGAATGTCAAGTCGGCTCAAGCCCCTTTCGTTGCCCTCTTCAAAGGACTGCGCCATAGCAGCAACACTTGCAGCACCAGGCAAATCCGGCTTGAAACGGTTTTGCTGGATGGTTGAAAAGACGGCCAGCACCTTTGCCTAGAGTTTCAAATAATACTCTCTGCTGTAAGTCAAAGGAGATTTGCTAGTCGGATCCAGATGATGTCCAAGCGCACGCTGCTCAGGCTCCGTGAAAGGAATGATCGTGCTACGGCCACACCAAGTCAGGACAGTAGTTTTCATGCTGTGGCTGCCATAGTCCTGGACCTCGTCAAGATCGCATCCCATGGAAATGAGCGCCTCCCTGAGGTAGTTTGTGGCCTCCGCGGCCCCCATTTCAAAATCACCCCAGTCATATTTTCGCTCACTCCAGGTTGGAAGGAGAAAAGACCCTCCAACTTGCAGACCCATTTCTTTTCTGGCCTCCATCCACGCCTCTGCCCATGGCACGTTGCTTACGCCTTTGCCCAGGGCGACGTACGGCAGAAGCCGCGTGCGTGCTTCAGCAGAGATCGCTGTTTTGGAGCCGAGTGCCCCGGCCACTATCAGGACCACACCACTCTCAGCATCGCACTCCAGGGTTAGGCTCTGTACGCGCTGACTGTCCGCCCACCGGGCACAAGCATGTGCGCAGAAGACCAGTTGGCCTACCACACATGCGCGGTGATCCTTGTTCATGGTCACGAACTGCTCCAAGAGGGACAGGTGTTCTACAGTCAGAGGGGGACGTTGAGCTAACGGAGCCTTTGTCACATGCATAATCCTTACAATTCCTAGCACCCTGGCGCTAAAGACTTCCTCAAGGTCAAGCACTTGAAACACCGCAACACCATGGAGGAACCGCAGTGCCTCCACACAATGCTGGCATGACGTGGCCCCCGCCCCCTCGCCCTGCAGGTGCGAGAAGTAGGCAAACAGGTCAACCTCGGAGCATCTGAGGGGCGAGGTCCCTCGGCAGCAGAGGATCCACTTACCAAAACGGTCAAGGGACCCAGCTCTCTTTATGAGAGAGCCGGAAGCACTCTTTGCAAAAGCACAAGTGAAGGAGTATGACAGAGCCTCATCGTCAGCTAGGTTTGCAGCCTCCTTTGCCACTACCATCCCCAAGAAGGTAGTGTCGGGATCGTACATGATGAGAGCTCTCAGTCGCTTTATGGCGTGCTCCCTTCTGTCATCAGCCGGTCGCTCAAGATGAAACCGCCTTAGCCTGATCCTAACTACACTCGAAGTTTTCTCAAGAAAGGCCGAAGCTGACGGCAGGTTCTCGGGTGGCAATTGACCAGCTTCCTCGGAGCCATAAGAGGCTTGCACACTGCTCCTAAGGGCATCGTCGATCATGTTTCTCTCAGGTCCAAAAATGCTGGACCATGCACCTTGCTCCCAAGGCATCTTTGGTAAGTCCTGACACACACGCCTGAACTTTGCCTCCTGAGCAACCTCGGCCCACCTGGCATCCTCGAAGACACGCTTGTAGGATAGCGACTCAGCAGGCAGAAGAGGCTCTTCCACAACGCTGGTTGCTACCTCCTCTCTGTCACCTTCGGCTAGGGCCGCATCTAAAGAATGATCTCGCACTGAATCATACCAAATGTCTTCGGGGTCAAGAGACCTTTCGCGTTCCCCACTATGAACCATATCATAAGAACCCAAGTCCGAGGCAGGGTCTCCAAGGTTGGGGTCGTGCACAGGGTCGTAAACAAAGGGACTAAAAGGCTCCGACAGCCACAAGGCGGGGTCCTCCTGGCTTTCCTCAGGCACGGCAGCATGGGTGGTCGGGCTCAGGGGAGCCAACAGGCCCCATGCATTGACACTGGCTGCATCATCACTAGGCTCCTCCCCCTGACCAGAAACCGAGTGATCAGGATCAGCCTCAGTCAGGTTGGCGGCCTCAGGGCCCGCCGCAGCACGCGAGGCGCGTGGGAGCGCACCTGTGGACAGCTTAGGCACCATGTCGAAGGAGGTTCGGGTGCCGCAAAGCCAAGCGATAGAAGCTCGTGCGGGCAGGCTCTAGGACGAACAGCGCACTTTGCAAGACAGCAGCTCTCTCGGGAAGGTGCAAGAAGCTGAAAACAAGTGCAAAAGCTCGAGGGGTATATGCGATATCCCCGAGGTCCAGAAACGCCACAGAAGACTCTGAAGCAGGGGAACTGTCGTCACTGTCTGTCGGAAGGCTCAAGGGATGCAAGCGGGCTTCGAGACGAGTGACTCGAATCTGCAAAAGCGACAGCTGATCTAGCACCGACTCTTCCAAACGGCGCAGCTCTGACGGCCGGGCGAACGAATCACCCAAGCTCGTGTCCTCGTCGCTCATTCACCCCCCGCTGTGGGGGGGGCGCCCGCTCCCAAAAGCAAGAATTTTGCCCCACCTCCAGAACTTGAGATGTCAAGGCAGCACGGGGCAAAAATCACAAGATCCATGTAACATGATAACAGCACTGCATGTTCATGTCACATGTAAAATCATCCTTCTCCAAAGACGAACTTCGTGTTTTAGCAACGCCCAAAACGGGCACTAAAACAGAAAGAGAAGGAAAAACTTTTTATGGAGAAAGTGACGTCGTGAAGCACGAAGCTTCCTTCGTCCTAGTGAAACATTCCACACAAACTTCCTGCGTTAGCGCTCTTCCTTCTTTTGCGCTTTCGCTGCTGTGCGTTCCGAGGTGAAACTTTTTCAGTCTTGCCTACACTCACTTCTCTGCCTCATACTCGTACACGATTCAGGTCTTACTGACTTCCGAACAACGTTCTCTGTTCTGTGCTGTCCGGTGTACCTGGATCTACATCCATTGGCTTCGAACTTCCAAACAGATCCATCGGGATTTCCGATCCTTGTGCGCGTTCTTCTGACGCGTCATACATCTCACTGTATTGTTCGCAATACTTCTCATACGATTCCTGTGCTTCTGGGGATTAGCATCTTGTTCCCCATCTCTTCCACGGTAATCATCCTTCCGCGGTACTCGATCATCGCCGGCTCTTTCTTCTTTTCCGGTTCTTCCTGGGTTTCCACATCCTGCTTGTTTCTTCCAGATGTAACTCTTCCACCACGTCGGTAGTCTTCCTCACTTATGATGGGCATACGCACACTCTCTGTGTGTACGATTGATGGTGTTCCCATCGCTGCTCTTCCACGTCTCTTCAAAGATCCTTTTCCATTGCCACTCTTTTGTCCGGCATTCCATGCATGCTTCACTTCATCCGTTACACGGGTCTCTTCTTTTTCCGTGGCATCACCCGTTCCTTCCGTTACTGCTCTGTCATAACTTTTCCTCCATTGTTCCGTCGCATATGTCTTGATGCATTCCGTGCAAGAACATTTCTGGTGGTTTACCTTTTCCCTTGTACACTTTCGTACTCCGCACCAGTAGCACTTCTTTGTGCATCCGCCATTTGACTCTACTTCAAAGTCATGCTCCATTACTTCCCAGTCGCTTTCGTCTGGGGTCGGCGGCTCTGCGCGCTCTCGGCGTCTTCTCGAGCTTCCTTCTGGTTTCGTCTCTGGGAAACAAATCCAACATGCCCTAAAGCCATCTTGCTCGGCTTCTTGTACGTCCTTCCAGACCCACCGGCCTGGCTTCTTGTGTGACCCTTGGGCATGCCAGCAAGTAGCACGGTGATATACACGTGCACGGCTTCCCGTACTGATCTTCACACGTCCAATATCTCGCAGGTTTTCCAAAATTCTTCCAAGCTTTGTCCATACCGTGATAACATACGGCACTGCGAGCAAAAATACGCATACCATCATTCCAACTTCAAACTTCGTGAAGTTTCCGTCCATGGCGCTCATACCTTTTTCCAAGGTTCCACAGGTCTCTACTTGGGCGTCAGATACTTCCTCCTTGAGCAATACTGCGGTAATCGGCTTCATCAAATGAAATACCTGTATGGCTCTAATGAGACTCTTGATTTGTCCACTTCCGACATACTCCTTCAGTTTCTTCTCTTGTTCATGTTTTTCATACTCTTTCTCTCCAGTATACTCCAAGTTTCCTTCTTCATCATACTCTACTTGAGACAAGTGATACAGTAGAAATGACCTTCGGGCATATGACAACTTCTTGGTGTTCAGATCCGCTACATTGAGCGCGGTTCGCACTGTACCAAGTTTTACAAGATTGTCTCGCACCCAATCTTGCAGTTGACACAGCCTAACGTCCACATGCTTCAGACGTCCAACTCCTCGTCGTTGACTCCACTGTCGTGCAGATGATGAATCGCACCGTATCTCCACGCGTACAGGCGCGTTTACTAGGAACTCAAATAGCCTTCCGACTAGGATTGCTTCTCCACAAGTTCCACTTAGTGCATACAACTCTGCTTCACAGCTTGATGATGATGTGGCCTTCTGAGTCCTAGAAAATGATAACACTTGCACTCCGTTCAGTACAATGATTCCTGATGAGGTACTCTTCCTTCGGGCTCTGTCCGGGGTCTTCAGGCTTGCCCAATCACTGTCCGAATACGCTTCCACCACATGTCCTGCATCCTTGGCAATTTCTTCGTCTTCTTGGCCATTCAACTTCGTGATCAACCGGCTTCCGATTTCGGTATACGGTAAAAGAGTAGCCCTTGTGGCTGTTCCACTCAAATACAGAATCAAGTGCTTCAGACACTTTAGTGCCTGCAACGTTGGCTTCGACATACTTGATGCCAAACACTTTGAGGCATACTGAATGTCAATCCTGTCCTGTGCAAGGTACAAAATAGATCCGGTCCGAGTCCAGATCTAAACCGTTTTGTCTCTTCAGCACTCAACTCCTTGGTCCGGTCTTCCTTCACCAGATCCACATGCTCTGGTGTGGCCTTACTATTTAATTTTCCAAGGTCATACAACTCAATGAGCTTCCGAACATACTTCTCATTTGGTTGGACAACAATTCCTTCTCGGGTGAAGACATACTTCCTTTTGAGATATCGCATCTCTTCTCCACTTCCGACTCCATTCGCTGGGTATGGTCCTTCTTTCTCCACCTTGAATACCTTCTCCAATTCTTCTACCAACCAAATGGTTTCCTCCTTTTCTCCTGCTAGTAGTTCGTCATCTACATGGATAGAAATACACAGCTTCCTTGTGGTGTGTCTAGCTAATGCGGGTACATGTACTGAGAACACGAATCCCAGTTTCTCAAGTATACTCCGCAAATGTTCATACCACCTTGTTGCGGCGTTTCTTTGACCAGGTAGGCATCTCTTGAGCCTCCACACTATTCCTTCTTTCAGGTTCGCGGCTCGCTTCATCCAATCACTAATTGTGATTAGCACCTCTTCTTGCTGCGGGACCTGAAGGTACGCGTCCTTTATATCAAGTACGACTACGACCCAGTTGTACACCAGGTGTAACAACAAGACTAGGCGTGACGCGGCATTGCTTGCCGTTGGGCTGAATGTCTCAGCTGTGCTGCTCGCACCTGCCCTGTACTCCCTGGCCACTATACGGCACCTCCTTTTCCAGCGTCCGTCACGATGCCTCCAGTCGTAAACTTCGCGCAAATCCATACGTTTTTCATCACCTGTTGCGTTCGCCTCCATGAACTCCTCGATTACTCCTATCTTACTGAGGCGATTCAATTCTTCCACGGCTGCTTCCTGATCCAAGGTATCCAGTTCCTCTGGACTTAGCTCGGGTGGTGTTTCTCCTTGGTCGTTCTTTGGAACTTCTTCCATCTCTTCTTCCATGAGATCTTCATACTCCACGTCTTCTCCTTCTACTGCTGTGAGATCCTCATGTTCATCCCAGTGAAAGGGATCATCTTCCTGAGATACCCTGCCTGCGAACAAAGGCGGGTAGATTCCTCTTGAGGGCGATGATGGTGATGATGGCATTTCTCGTGACTTTTTCGGCGATCCTTCTACTTCCTGTCCTCCTTCTACAGCTCTCTTCCTGAGGTCTTCTAACAAAGTATCATCACTGACACGTCCTTCTGGTTCTCCAGGTGGTGCGTCCTGCATTGAACTTGAACTCCGGGAATGAGAACTAGATCTCGTGCTGGTCATACCTCCGTTTGAGGCCCTGCCTCCACTTGAGGCCCTGCCTCCGCTTGAGGCTTCGCTTGTGTCCAACAGATCCAACAGTTCCTCGACCTGTTCCTCTTGGGACTGTCCTCGATCTTCCGCACGAACTACGGGTTCCTGTGCTGTTCCTTCTTCCTCTGCGATACTTGCCAATGCTGGGGCTGGCAACGGCTGTCTTGTATACGTTCCTTTTGGCTTCTTGGGGTTCCATACTGGTTCCTTTCTCCATCCAGTGGCGATTCGCCTTACAGATCATGTTGCCAAGATTCCGTCTTCAACTCCTACCAAGTGCATATCCTGAGAGTTCTTACCAAGGTAGATTCCTCCAATCCAATTTGCTGTTCCTTTCTTCTCTGGTTTCTTCAGCGCATACACATACTCTCCGAATGGGGCAATCTTCCCAAGGTAAGGTCTACCAACGACACTTTCGTAAGGGGTTGACCCTATCGCGGCGTGTCTGTGGTACCTGTTCAGCAACCATGACGCATGGCACAATCCCCAGGCCCACACTGCATGGCCTTCGGGAATCTCTATACCAAGCTTTCTTTCGGCTGCTCGTACCAAGCAAACTGTTTGGTTCCTCACCGTCTGGATAAACCTTTCCACTCTTGCCGTTCTTCCTTTCTGATACGGCTTGCTGTTTTGATCGTGTGTTTTGCGGTTCATCTTTCTTCGAGTTTCCACGATTGCAGCTATCAGTGATAACATTGCCTCTTCCGAATCTCCAACAAATCCGACTTCCTCCAAGTGTCCAAGACTGTGTACCCATTTCAACACTTTCTCCACGGTCTTTCTCTCCGTCTGCTTTCCAGATACAGGGATCACAACTGACATCCTTGTCCATGAACAGATTCCAACTAATGCTGGTGTGTCCTTTCCTTGTAGGAACATAAAGTCCAACTGAATTATTGGATAAGGCACTCCCACTGAGTCCTTTCCTGCTTCGGGATTCTTCTTTTCGTGATCCTGCTTACTCTTGGCTTCTACGCATGACTCACACCAATGAGCAAAAGGTAGGTGTGTTGCTTCATGAGCAAGTCGCTCTTCTTCCGAGGGTTTGTACGGTTCTGCTTCCACTCGTACTTTCTCTTTCTCTTCGCTCTTTAGCTTCTGTGCAGATTTCTGCATCTCCAACTCTGACAACGGATTTCCGTCTCCATCGTAGGTTGGTCCCAATACTCCTTCGCTCCTTCCAGGGGCGATACTTACCGGTACCACCGGTGTACTAAGCTCTTCTGGAACTCTTCCTTCACCTCTAGCAAAAGGTGTTTCTGGTCCTCTCGA